ACGATAAGTCCTCAAAATTGCCCTGATCGCAATATTTCTTCCTGTCACGTTAAAATCACACCTCTGACAAAAATCAGCTTATCGATTCTCATCAATAGAACGATAAGTCCTCAAAATTGCTCTGATCGCAATATTTCTTCCTGTCACGTTAAAATCACACCTCTGACAAAAATCAGCTTATCGATTCTCGTCAATAGAACGATAAGTCCTCAAAATTGCCCTGATCGCAATATTTCCTCCTGTCACGTTAACATCACACCTCTGACACAATCCACTTATTGACTCTCTCTAATAGAGCGATAGGTCCTCAAAGTTGTCTTGATCGTAACAATCAACTTATCGACTCTCTTCAATAGAGCGATAGGTCCACGAACCAGTCAAGTTAACATCACACCTCTGACCAAATCAACTTATCGACTCTCTTCAATAGAGCGATAAGCCCATAAAATACTGTTAGGTTAACATCACACCTCTAACAGTCACCCCCCTAATGAACTTGTTAATCCTTTTTTTTCAACAAGAATAACAAGTTGTCATTATAAAATCCCCATCCTAGTGATAATAAAGAAAATTTTTGAATTTCACTTTAGGTGAAAATTCATGCCAAGTTAATACTATACCTCTGGCACTTCCAACTTTCTTTCGGTGTTTCAAGCCATACGGGAAGAAACGACACCAAAAATCCATGCCTTCACGCATGGGGGACTTTATCTCGATCCCAAATTAGAGATAAGTCTACGCCTAACACGCGTTGTCGGTTAATCTTTCACCGTAAAAAAGGACAAAAGTCTACGTATTCAACATCGTAGCGGGTCGTTATTAATAACACCAAAATCCATGTCTTACACGCATGGGGAACCTTATCCCAAATCCTAAGTAGGGATAAGCCTACGCCTAACACGCGTCGCCGGTTAGTCTTTTTCCGTAAAAAATGACAAAGTCTATGTATTCAAAATCATAGCATCAAGTCTAAGAAGGTTCATTCTCTTAGCACAACGTTACATGTGAAACGGATTCAAATAATTCACATGCTAGCCCGACTCAAACGGTAGTCGGTAAAGGCTTATCAAATCCGTTGATGGCTGAGGGTTTGCCAAAAATCCTATGCACGTTTGCAGGCCCATCAGCTTAATGGATGTGAGCCGAGACTTAAAACAGATGAGCCAAAGACAAGTCTCAAAGACTTAGTCAAAAATGCACGGAAGCCACTTCCATATCTTAAGTCAAAACGTTGAGGTCAGACCCGCGATACAAAAACCGAACGCCGAGGTCACACCCGTGTTCCAAATTCAAAATACAGGGTCCACCCCCACAGTCCAGATCATGACGCCGAGGTCACAACCGGGTTTCAAATCCAAAACGCCGAAATCAGCCCCGCGTCTCAAGTCCAAAACGCAGGGGTCCACCCCCGCATTCCAGAAGCAGGATTATGACGCATACCTTCACAAAGGTCCTACGTGGCAGATCCCTTCAACCAAGATGCCTTCAAAGCAAGTGCAGAGAACGACTCCTTTACGACAAGGAATCAACAGCTCTAAGATCAGAGTTAAGATCCAAAGTATTCCGAAAATTCGTCCCAGTCAACCGCGAACTTTCGAAAACTTTGGAGGGGGTTCTGTAGGCTGTCTAAAAATCACAATAGATAGCTGATCCCCATCAAAACACCGATGATGGAAGTTACAATCTGACGACTTCCAGAAGGCTACAATTCGAAGATTTTCACATGTCAAAGAGTTAAAGCAAAGATTACAAAACGATTTAAATCTCAACCGGTTAAGGGGATGTTTGGCAAATTGAAAGTGAATTGGAAGTGTGAAAGCCATTTTTTTACAAGAGAGAAAATGTATCTATGTCGTCATGCAAGTGAAATACAATGTTTGTTTACACAAGTAAATTATCGTTGGAAAGTAGAAAAGTGAAGATAGTTAAGATGATGTGACAATTCATTTATTTACATATTTATTGAAAACCATATCATACTCTAAATGGTTTTTGATAACTACAAAAAGTATTCAACGATTAAAAATACATAACTGACATGATTAGACACTGTAGGCTGTCTAAAAATCACAATAGATAGCTTATCCCCCATCAACCACCGATGATGGAAGTTACAATCTGACGACTTCCAGAAGGCTGTAATCTGAAGACTTTCGCGTAGATTGCTGAAGGTTACAATCTGACGACCTTCACGACAGCCGATGAGAGCTCTAGTTCAACAGCATTCACAATCAACATCGGGAGTTACAATCTGACGACTCTCATATTCTCAAGGAGCCAAGACGAAGATTACAAGACAATGATCTTTGCAACGCTATGACAAAAGAGATTACTTGTTGATAATCTCTTCAAGGCAAGACGCGGAGGTCCTCCCCGTATATCAACACCAAGACGCGGTGATCCTCCCCGTATATCAACACCAAGACGTGGTGATCCTCCCCGTGTGTCAACAATAAAACGCCAGGGTCGAACCCCGCGTCACAACATCAAAACACCAGGGTCGAAACCCGCGTTACAATATCAAAACGCCAGGGTCGAAACCCGCGTCACAACATCAAAACACCAGGGTCGAACCCCGCGTTTCAATATCAAAACGCCAAGGTCGAACCCCGTGGTCGAACCCCGCGTTTCAACATCAAAACGCCAAGGTCGAACCCCGCGTTACAACAGGCAAAACGTGAGCGACCCTCGCGTTCGTAGGGGTCCAGCCAACACCGACCCCCGCGTTTCTAAGCTACAACAAACCAAAACGCGAGCGACCCTCGCGTTCATCAATGTTCAGCCAACACCCAACCTCGCGTCTCAATCCTAAGACGTGAGGTTAGGGTCCTGAACGCCAACGTGGGCGTTTGACTCATTCAACATGAGTTGAACGGTTCTAAAACCGTTGCCCACGATTTGGGGGCGGTTACATCCCACTTAGGAGAGATTTAAGGGGCGGTTTCACCCCCTTAATCCTCTATAAATAACTGAAGATCAATTCAGTTCAGGGGCTTCTTTTTCGGTTGGAATTTTTGGCTCGGATCGACCACTGAAGGTTGGCATTTATCCGGAGCTGAGACTTGGCAGCAAAGGGAGAGATCGGCAATAGGAGCTTCTTCAATCATCGGATCTGGAAGCATTCTTCAGCAACCGAGATCCAGAGGCTTTGATCCTTGGCTTATTAACCGAACTTTCGGTTCAAATCAACTCTTTCATAGAGTTTCAAACTCGTTCAGAGTTATCAACTCATCAAGAGTTCTAAAACTTGACACGCAAGTTCTCCACAACGTCAAATCGTGAGGAGAAGACATCGTTCCAGTGAATCAAGACGTGCGGATCGTCAACGGAGAGCAAACTCGACGCAAGCATTCGAGGGAGGCACTCCATCGCCACCGTGAAGAACCCAGTTTTAAACAAAGGGGAAGAACCAATTTCGTTCTCCTCTCTTTTGTAATCAAGTTACAAAAATAAAAAATTTAATTCATAGGTTAACAATTTGAAAAAAAACCATGTAAAGACCCCTTATCAGATTAAACCAACAACTACAGCTTATATCCTCAAATTTAAAAATAAAGATTTTTTTTATCATAGTCCCTTACATCCTTAATGTTTGGGAACTAGTCTCTCAATTCACTAAAATTACAATTGTGTCCCTTGTTGATGTCAGTTATCGAACATGAGATATTATTTTTGAAACACTTAAAAGTATTACATGGATTAGACAGTCTTTTTGAAAGGTTTCTTAGACCAAAGGTCTTTTTAATTAGCCTAAAAATATAGTTGGACGGTTAAAAGTAAGCCTTTAATGAGCTTGGTCCACGGCCTACCTATTATCTTGGGCGGTCTAGTAACTATCCCTATCAGTGGGTTTATGAGATGACTAAGGAAAGGGAAAGAATGGAAAAAAAATTGTAATGATCGTAAAATTTTGATACTAGTTAAAATAAATTTTTGGTATTTTAAATTATTTAATTATGATTTTTAAAAGAGTATTTGTATTTTTCTCGATTTTTTAGAAATTTTCTATGATTTAAAGTCTAAGTTTTATATTTATTTAAATAGTTTTGATATTTATATATTAATTTAGTGCAATGAAATTTTTTGGGATTTATCCGTTGTGTTACTGATACTATTACGTATTATTTTAAATAATACGTCGTATTATTATTACTATTACGTATTAATTCTTGTATTATGTTGAATTATTAATTACGTATTATTTGTGTAAATTATTGTATTATTTTAATTATCATGTATCAGCTGTCGTATTAGCATAACTGGTACGTTTTATCATGTAGATAATTGTCACATAATTATTTGATTTTAAATGTAAGTAAATATATTTATATTATTATTTATTCTCGTTTAATTATACAATATGTGTATATTTCGACTATTTCGTATCAACTATTTTATTAACACAACATGTACGTTTTTATTTGTAGATAATTATTCCGTAATTGGTTTAATTTTTTTATACCCGTAACTATTTATTTAATTATTTTTATTTAAATATCTGAACCCATTTGAAAATAATCTAAAGCTTTTGCTCCCCGTCAAACCCCCAACAACCATCCCCCTCATCACGTTTTCTCTCCTCACTTTTCCAAGAAAATGGCTATCCACGCGCACCATAAAATTAGACTAAGCAGCTCATCATCAATCATATCTTAATTTTTTATTATTAAACTTTTTTATTTAAACCCTCACCAACTCCTCTCGTGCTCAACCCAGCTCTCTCTCTCTCTCTCTCTCTCTCTCTCTCGATCGAGCTCCGCCCCTCAACGAGACCGCACCGCCCACCTCAGCCCCGTCTCTCTCTCCTCAGCCGCTTTCCTTGGCCGCTCCCCCGCTGCTGCCCTCCACCGCCACATCTGCCTCCCTCGCCTTCAACCCAAGTTCCTCCCGCGCCTCCCCCCCCCTGAGCTCGAACCCGCAGCCGCCAGTCCACGCCGGGCCGCACAGAGCGTCTCCCGCCGCTCGGCCTCACCCTGCTCGAAGGCCGTCGCCAACCTCACCTGAACCTTCACATCATCGCCGACCATCACCACGCCTGTCCTCCCGCTCTGACAGCGACCGAACCCACTCCCTAGATCTCCGACATCCTTCACCGCTGCCCGACCCTTGTTCGCCGCCTCCTTCGACCCAGACCGTCGCCTGACACCTCAAGACCCCGCAGCCGTCACCAAAGCCCAAACCCGCAGCCCCCATCTCCTTGCCGACACAGTCTCCCACCCGACAACCCTCCTCATCGCCGCCAGCCTCAACCGGCCTGCTGTATGAGCCACCGCTCAACTCCTGCAGCCCCCTGCCGAGCTCCCTGCCGAGCTCCTCTTCCCCCTGTCGCGCCACCACCCGCCGACACGCAGCGACGCCCGACGCTACCTTCCGTCATTGGCTATCCCCAAACCCGACAGCCCCTCCGCCTCGCCGTCGAGCTCACTGCCAATCATCCGCCCCGTCTCCTCCATCGTACGCCATCTGTTCGATCGTATGCTGACACATACCTAGTTGCAGAACCGCCATCCGCTACATCACCTCGATCGCCACACGTCGCGTCCGCATCGGCATCGTAGCCTCATCATCAGACCCCACGGTCTCGTAGGCAAGATCCCGATACTCTCTTGATTTGTCATTCAATTCTTAGATCCGCTCTGAATTAATTAGTTGCTTGCAAGATCCCTATTCTTGCTTAGTACAATTTTAGATTGATCACAGATTAATTATTTGATCACAGATTAATTATGCATACGAACTCGTTACCCGAATAATTACTCGTTAAGAACTGTCGTGAACGAATTGAACTGAGAACTATGATGTATAGAACTGTCGTGAACAAAATGGACTGTGAACAATAACGTATGACCATTCACGTTGTAATACATATACTGCGATGACCTGCACGGATTTATTTGACGAATGATATTAAAAAGTACAAAAAATAATATTGTGATAATAGATACTATAAAGATAAAATAAAATAAAATAATTTTAGATTAATTTATATTTTTAAAGAATTTATTGACAAAATAATCAATTTAATATAATTACTATTTTGGTGAAAAATCATTTTGAGTAATTATAATAAATTAATAGAATTTATTTGATAAAAGAATTATTTTAGAATAATTATAAATAATTTAAAAGAATTTATTTTAGAATAAGTATCAATTTAGAATAATTTTAATAATTTAAGAAAGTTTTATAAAAACAATTATTTTAGAATAATTATAAATATTTTTAAAACATTTATTTTAGAAAAGGGATTATTATGAATTTTTTATGATTTATGTTTCTTAAATTTAATTATGTGATATGTTATGATCTTGTTGTATATGATTAGTTGCATTTATTACTCTATGTTACGTTTGAGAACCGTTAGAAATTCATGACTAGTGTGGCCTGGTGTGTCCTGTTTAAGACTTAGAAACCTGTGTGTTGTGTTAGCTTAGAAAAACGAGAAGAGTTGGGATGGGGAAGTTAATATTCATGTGATCGGATAAGACTGTTGATGTATCTTCCAGGCTCGCTCCCGTGGTTGGTGTCGCCATCGGGGTTAGTTTGTAGGGCTAAAGTGAAGTGTGTACATCACTTTGGTCAGTGGGAAATTTATTTCTTCACCCGAGTTCTGTTTGAAGTTCGGATCAGACAAAAACGGATTGCGTGCAGTCCTCTAGGCTGCATGTGTAGCGGGATTGGATGCACGTAGAGGATTTGTGAACAGTCAGTTATCCGATGACAGGAGCGTTGACTCTGTGTGAGATGTGACTAGTGACCTGTTATACAATGGCTAGTAGTATGACCTCGTTACTTGGATGATTAGTCTGATCGCTAGCTACATGACCTCGTTACCCGATCGATTTTGGATTCTTCTGATTATTATATTCTAGTGGTGGATTTTATTTAGATTATTACTATTATTATTATTGTTCTTGCATTGGTCGTTCGACCGTTTCTACTTCCCTTGTGGGATCTTGCCGTGTGCCATACACGCTGACGTACACCTATTTTCTCTGGTGTACGTCAGATTTAGAGGATGGACAGGTCCAGGATGATGATGCATTAGAGCAGGAGTATTCCCAGCCGGAGTGTCTTCCAGGTGGAACAGAAGAACAGACGGAAGCTTAGCCTTTTCTTTTACGTAATCACTGATGGACACTAGATTACTTATGTAGTACCTTATCCTTTAGTCTTTCGAGGGACTTAGTTATTTTTACAGTACTTCCTTCTTATTTTGTTAGACTATGTATTTTCTTATTTTAGTCGGACTGTTTTGTAATAAGGGCATATTGACCCAAACTTTGTGTCTCGGATGATATTCTATTTGTGATATGTCTCTTTTTATTCTGAGTTGTTCATTATATTCTCTATACTGTGATCGGGGACCTATGCCTTTGTATTTATTTCTTGACGCTTAGCGTATTAGGTTGAGGAGAAATGTTTAATTTTATTTATTTTCCTTAATCTAATACGTCGCGGGCTTGCTCGCGTCCCTATTCTCTGGTATTTTGGAAAGCGGGGCGTGACAGTTTTTAGTGGTGGCCCATGTAGGTCACGGTCCCGGTCACGATCCCGAGTCCCTACCAGTGAGAATATAATGAGCAATTTAGAAACATATCATATTTTATCCGCGAGACTATTCTTAAGCCCTTATCCTATTTTCTTGGTAGATTTTATTTCATCCCTATCTTATCACTCTTTGACTCCAGAGTTTCCTGCGATTCTTGTCCCGTCGCTTCGTGACTACTCTCTCTTCCTATAACTTCTCTTTCCTCGTGCTGATAATGCCACATATTATTGTAGTATTTTATTTTATATATTATTCACACTATTAATCCTTTTTAGTATATTAGCTATTTCAGTTTAGTAAAATATTATTTATGAATTGCATCATTTTATATATTAATATGGTGTACTTGTAGATGGTGAATATTCTAGTTGACGTATGATATTAGTGTATATTAGCATTGGTTAATTACATGATATGCATTCATATGTGTGTTTGTTATAATATTCTTTAGTCATATACTCTATCATTATATTGTATATTTTTATGTAAAATGCAGTATATAGTATGTCATACATCAATCATGTTTTGTTCATTGTTAGTAATATTTACTTATTTTGCATGACAGTTACTATAACTATTCACAGTTTCATAGTATTTTGTACATGTTAATGTTTTTTTTCAATTCATTCACATTTTTAATATTTACATTTTATTGTTTTTTGGCGGTCAATATTTTCATATTACTATTGTTATCTCATATCAGCTAGCATCAAATATCATTTATCTTAATATGTTACTATAGTATAATCAAAATTTTAAATTTCACTCGGAATTACATGCATATTGTATTTATTTTAACATATGCACAATAGTTTTAGTATATATGCGATTAATGTGTATTATTGAAGTGTATTATATTAGTTAGTTATTTTCCTATTCAATCATCATTCTTCTTGACACATTTATTATTACATATTGGTAAGTGATATATGCTTAGTGATCTACTATTAACACCATTCGTTTATTTTGTTATGATTTTGTTAGTATTGTTTATATATTGATTATATTGTCATAATTGTTATATTGTATATATTTTCATTTGACTATGTTGTTTATACATGTTCATATCATGTTCATTAAGTGTTTCACATTTTTCTAGACTTCTCATACACCTTACTTGGCATGTCTGATATTCAGATTATTTCCTTGTGTTCTAATATACTTTTCATATCTACATTGTATATGTTGTTTTTCGAGATTTATGTTATTTTTAGATTTTTTTTATGTCATTGGTTGTTGTCCATTCTCTATTCATTATTTTCCTTTACTTATGTTGTGTTTTACTTTTCATTCTTTTAGACTCACTATTCTTTTTATTATAAGTGTATTCACGTATATTATTATATTTACGATATATATTTTTATTGACTTATAGTCCTTAATCATTTCTAGTATCAACCTTATCTAATAATGTTCTGTTTTATTTATTATCAGTGTTTATGTTCACATGTTCATTAATCATTCATGATATGTTTATCTAAAATTTATCGTTGTTTTTATTATACGAATATATGCCCTTCTTATGTTTTTATTTGTTTATATATCTATTTTATCTTTTATAATTTATGTTTTATGTATTATACATCATTTTTATGTATATTTATGCCGATTGTATTTATGTGATTTTGATTACTATGCCATATATTGCTACATCTGAATTGATTTTATACAGCAATGATTATTATTGTTGTATCTTGTTTATATTTATTATTTACCATATGAATATTGCTAATATTTTAATTTATTATATTGTTTGTCGGATACATATATACTTAAGTCATTCTTATTATGTTGTATATAATATGTTTATTTAGTATTACTTATTTGTTATTATGTCTATTTTGTCATATAATATTTTTGTGACTATTTTCATCATAGTTTATCTTGTTAGCATTATTAACTACGAGTATTTAGACTTTTTATATGTTTGTTATTATGTGTGTGTTTATTTTAATGGCTATTATATATGATGATTTTAATTGCTATATTATATAAACATGTTTAGTATTTGATTTAGTATTGTGTCGTGTACGTTAATTATTTACTGTCGAATGTTCTCAAAAAAAATAAAAAAATAAAAAAATATTGATTATAACTACAACTACTTATTGGATTGTCGTTATGTTCTATCTTTACTGTTTGATATATTTGATTTTTATGTATATGCTTCCTTACGCGTGTTTATGTTTTGACTACTTTAGACATGTCTTGCTATAATGCTATCTTTGAACTTTTAACATAATTGTAATTTTTATTTCGATACTTGTGCCTTATACGTTTTATTTAATTGAATGTAATTCGCTGATTGCATTCATGTGTTATGTTTATAACTATACTTTGTATATCTTGGATATTTATTCTACTAACTGATTGTATGATATTTCTATCATAATTTGATATTTTTATTATTATCTTTCTGTCTCTTTTGTTGTACAATGTGTTTATCTAAACTACATATATGTTGATTCTTTGCTATGTGTTTTGCTTGTATAATCTTCAAGTGTTTCTTTTGCTTGTATATGATTCATCTCATATTCGTATTGTATACTTGTGTTTTGGTGTTTTATCATGTTTATCACCTGCTTGCGGATGATTGACTTATATTTTGTTGATATTTTTGTCGTTTATCTTCTTTATTATTTATATCGTTGAGTTGATACGCTTTATCATATATTCTAGTGATTGACAAGTGGTTGAATTATGTATTTATATTTCATATCATATTTTTATACTATATATTTGTTATATTTGTTGTATTTTACCAATTATGTGTTATTGATTATGTTTTAACGTTGTGATGTGTCATCTTAGGATACTATCAATAATATCATGTTGATATTGTATTTTTTTATAATTGTATATTTGCTGTTAACTTCTTGCTATTAAACTGTGTTGACTTAT